TGGAGAAGGCACTCAGCTGCTGTCATGCGGTGCCTGCAGCACAGGGGGATATGGCAGTGGGGAGCGATGGGGGTCCCAGCCCCACATGTCCACCACAGGGATGGGGTTGGAGAAAGAGGAGAAGGGGGAAACGAATGGGATGGGAATGAAGAAAGGGGATGGAGAAGGGGATGAAGGAGAATGAAAAGGAGAAGGAGACAGGGATGGGGATGGAGAAGGAAATAGGGATTGAGATGGAGGAGAAGAAGGAGATGATGAGGATGGAGAAGGAGGGGATGCAGAAAGAGATCAAGATGGAGATGGATAAGGAGAAGGAGATGGAGAAGGAGACAGGGAGGGGGATGGAGAAGAAAACAGGGATTGAGATGAAGGAGAAGAGGATGAGGGGGATGGAGAAGAGGATGGAGAAAGGGATGGAGAAAAATGAAAAGGAGAAGAAGGAGAAGGGGACAGGGATGGGGATGGAGAAGGAGGAGAAGGAGAAGGAGGAAAAGAATGGGATGGGAATGAAGAAAAGAGATGGAGAAGGGGATAAAGGAGAATGAAAAGGAGAAGAAGGAGAAGGGGACAGGGATGGGGATGGAGAAGGAGATAGGGATGGAGAAGGAGACGGGGATGGGGATGGAGAAGAAAACACGGATCGAGATGGAGGAGAAGGAGAAGAGGATGAGGGGGATGAAGGGGATGGAGAAGGGGACTCACCCTGGCTCCTTCACCAGCAGCTGCCGGATGAAGTCCTTGGCCATCTCGGAGGTCTGGCTGAAGCAGCGCTCCTCAAACTCGTAGGCACCAGCCACGACGTTGGAAAGGGTCTCGGCGTCTGTCTCACCCTGGAAGGGGGACAAGCCGCTGAGCCTGCGGGGACATGACAGAGCTGCTGAGTGCTGGGACAGCACCGGCTCAACCACGACACGGTGTCCCTGTGCCTCAGTTTCCCCCAGCCACGGGATCATTGGCCGTACTCACAGGATGTAGGTGATGACCCCGATGCTCCTGAAAGGAAGAGGTGGATGTCAGGCACTGGACTTCCCAGGGTCCCCCCGTGCCCCGTGGCACCCAGGGGGGTCCCTACCCATCCCCCAGCTCAGCCATCACCGCGGGGTCCCCAACTCCTCACCACATGTCGGTTGCGGAGCTCAGCGGCTCATAGTTGACCACTTCAGGAGCTGGAGGTGAACGCAAAGCCGGGGTGGGGGGGACATCAGAGGGAACAGCATTGTCTTGGCCACCTCCCCCTCTGCACACCCAAGGCGTCCCGTCCCCACCCTGGAGGTCCCTTTGCCACAATCCCAGCTGCACCCCATGGAGCGGGGCTGCTTGGGGACCCCCCAGCCGCGTACCGATGTACTGCGGGGTCCCACAGAGGCTCTTGAAGGTGACACCATCCTCCAGGCGTTGGGCCAACCCAAAGTCAATGATCTTGATCCGGGGCTTGGGGACGTCCTTCTCCTGCAGCATGATGTTCTCGGGCTGCGGGGATGAGGATGGGCACAGCAGGGTGACGAGGGGTGCTGGTGGGCACTGCCCCAGAGAGGGGAGCAGCATCCAGGATGCGGCCAGGGCTCTGGAGATGCCCGGCGAGGGGGATGCAGCTCCTGGGTACCCTGAGGAACGAGGACGGGGGGTCCCCACGGTCACCTTGAGGTCGAAGTGGGCGATGTGACGGGCGTGCAGGTACTGCACCCCACGCAGGATCTGTCCCAGGAACTCGATGGCCTCCTCCTCTGACAGCATCTCCTTCTCCGCAATGAAGTCAAAGAGCTCCCCACCAGCGATCCTGCGCGGGGTGAGGATGGGGGTGACTCAGCCACCTCTGACACAAAATGGGGGTCACCCCACCCTGGGACCCCCCCTTCCCCACTCACAGCTCCAGGACCAGCACCATCTCAGCTCTACTGACAAAGAGGTCGTGGAGTTTCATGATGTTGGGGTGGTCGAGCTGCTGGAGGATGGTGACCTCCCGCTCCACCTGCGCCCGCTCCAGCCCCAGGCGACTGCCCCGGCA